AAAGATAACTCTGCTGCTCCAATCTAGTGCATCAAAGCCTTTGAAATACAATATTATAAATACATTTTCATTCAGAATAAGAATGTTTACTAGAATGCAAAATATTCTGCTTAATGGATTTTTGAATTAAGCATCTTTCTTTAGGCTATAAAAAAGAAGATTGAATGGTATACATCTAAATAATTATATGTTAATATCAGATCTGAAGTTAAGTTCTGTTTTTTAATGCCATCTGGGATGTTTTTGAACAAAATTGTACAGACATGTATTTTTGTTGGATAATAGTGACCAATTGATAAAAGTGTCATGTGACTTTTTTCTATAGCAATAAAGATCAGCGATGGTACAAAATATAATATTTGTTGATTTGTGAGTAGACTGTTCCTCATACTTCAGTATATAATGATAGTCTGAAATTGTTTCAGTTTGTTTTTTTATTCTTGCCCTGTGCAGCCTCTTTGGGTGCAGAGAAAAGTCATTTTAGACAACATTTAGTAATAAAGGGTGATCCAAAAGCTTTTAAATAATATCTTTCTTGAAGTAAAAATCTTTACCAATGCACAAGAGGCCAGAATATTTAGCTCTGGAGAAACCACACTGATAATGTAGATTGAGGACTGTCCCTAGAAATAACACTCAATGAATATGTTAATTTTGTGTCCATGAGATGTACAGCAAAGAAGAAACAATGACTTCCCTTATGGACCATCATTCTTTTTTTCCTGATCACTCAAAGCACAATTTGAAAGTATGCAGTGGGAGCAGCACTTATTAGCTTCTCGGAAAGGCTTTTACTTTTAAAGAGATAAAAGAAAATAAAAAAGAACATGGTGCAAAACTCTCAGACTACCTTATATTATTAGTTAAATTTAAATTCATAATTGCTCTGAGATATATCACAGAGCATTTTAATACAAATTTAAAATGTTAGATTTATAACTCATGATTATTAATGGGTCAGTTTGCCCATCATCAAGGAGAATATAAAAACTGCTTTATTAATTTATCAGGAAGAAAAGATATCCAGATCTGTCCTTTTCAGGTACAAGAAATAAATTGAACCACAAAATGGGCAGGCAATAATTTTTTTAATAAAAATAATAATTGTGTGCAATCCCAGAACAATTGGAGCAACACTTGAACTTCATTGGCATTGACAAAATCACCATCAGTCAATTACAAAAGGCTTGGAACAACTTGCATCCTGAAATGATAATTTTAACACCATTAAAATTCCACATCTGCCTATCCAGGTCCTTGTGAATGGATCAATAGATGGATACAAATGCCAAATCCAGTCTAAACCTCTGGCTGACTGTACAACAAACCATAGTAAATTGTAAATAGATTTTACGTCTTTGGATGAGATCTTCAGTGGAAACTGGCCATGATCTCAGGGCTCAAAAGGAATCATTGCTCTCATTTGATTCCACCAGCTACCCCTCCCCAAATCTGTTTCTTGCTGATGTAACTGCAGGCTATTGATATAATTGAACCTATTTGGTTCTATAGTAAAAGCTTTCTCTCAATATCGCAATCCATTGGGCTAAGCCTACATAACAGCAAATCAAATATTTACTCTGAGTTTTTGTGAAGAGTTGCTGGGACATCATCACATATATTTCTAAGTTAATTTCATCTGCATTGTATTAGTACATGATCATCATTAACGGAGTAAAGGGTGCATTTGGGAAAGATAGATCTACCTTGCCATTTTAGCTATAATTTTTTTCTATGAAGGGGTTTAATTTAATGAACGTGTATTAGTAAAGGTAGCTTCCAAAAATATGATCGAATAAAATAATGTGTATTGGACCAGAATACAGTTACTGTCAATATATTGTGATTAGACTCATTTCACATTCTACACTCTCAAGCAGGTAATTTAATGAAGAAATTAAAAACAGACAATACTCAGGTATCTTATACTTATATATATATTAGTTCCAAAGTTTGTTCCTGGGTGTCAAACTCCTACCACAGAGTGCAATACAGAAAAAGTAACTCACAATGAGTCTCACTAAGGTTATTATAAAGACTGTAAAAGATTAATATGCTGAATTCTGGAAGCTTCATAAGCCAAAACATTTATTATGTGAATTCATTAATGTAGGGTTTCTAAAAAGGCCTAAACATATTTTCCCCCAGATAATCCTGAAATTTAATCCTGAAATATTTGATCCTGAAATATCTTTCCTTTTGTCATTAATGTTTTGGAGAGGTTTGTCTTTCTTTCTCAGCTCCAGGTTTAGCCCAAGATTGCTATTACACTGGGTCTCTTTCCACCACACTATCATTTCAGTAGTCGTGCGGCTATCCACTTGCTATGTATTTGTTACTGCCCTGGTGTATTCTCAGGGAGGGAGGTGAAAAAATTCACAATTGTAGGCACAGCCACTCAGTCAATAACTTGCCCATATAAACCATTGTTTATTGTAAACATTGTCATGTTTCTAGGTCCAAAGCTACTTTATTGAATATTTGCAGTAATGTATGCACACATACACTTGAAGTTCTATAGTTTAAATGAGAATTCTTGGTATAACATTACACTAGAGTATTTTGATTTCTAATTCCCACTGGTCAGGTGCTGTTTAAGGGTTGCAATTTGGGCATATAATGGTACAAAAAGGGTCAAACTCCTATGTTATGTGAATGCTACTCAGCCACATTTGTTTACTACTCTAAATTGCTATAGGATTCTTATTTTCCACATGTTTATCAGGAATAAAAATGAAACTCAAAGTATTTCATACAAATCCAGGGAAAATGTTAAATGGAGAAATAAGACTTGACTCCAACTCTGATAGAAATCTACATGTATCTATATGTATCTACATGTATCTACTTAGCCTAGATTAACTTTTCAATCTATGTCACTTTTCATATAGGAATAATTTTCAGCTGCTATATTTATGTATGTACTTACTTGATTTTTAAATTCCCAGAGATTTTGAATTTTGAATCTGTTTCTTTCTGGAATATGCAAATTTATTCTTCAAATTTAAAAACTGAAGTTGAAACTACTAACTATGAACAATTCTGAATTTAAGAATCACTCTGGTGATTAATATGATTCCTTCCTTCCTTCCTTCCTTCCTTCCTTCCTTCCTTCCTTCCTTCCTTCCTTCCTTCCTTCCTTCCTTCCTTCCTTCTACAATTATCTAGAGTTCTATATAGTCACTATTTTAATATTCTTTCTTATCTTGTTTCTATTCAGGTGCATAGACAAAATGTAATATAGGTAGATATCCATAGACAATGTGACTAAACTTTAAAGGTCAAATAAATAAAATCCCCTTCTCATTTTGATATACACTTTTGATAATAAAAAATATTGTCTGTTGGTATCAGTGTCTGAAATAAACTTTATAAGAAAGGAAGATTACCTAAATTATAACTTGAATAGTTTACTCTCAATGTTATGTCCTTCAACCATGTAGTACTAAAACTCCCACAGTATTAACAAGCATATTAAACTGAAGTTGGAGTTGAATTTTGTATACCTGGAGGGCACCAGGAAAGATTGACTTAGAATAATTTATAATATTTAAAATATTCAAAATGAAAAAAGCATACAGTAGTTGTTAGGATGTTCTTTCACTTTCCTTACTACAATTGTCTAAAGCCCTCCAGAAAATCCTTAGATATATTTTTTTCTGCAGTCTTCCAGCTAAAAATGGTTTACAAATCTAATAGCAAAACCAAAATATATCAATCAAAGATCCAAGTCCCAAAATAAGCCAGTAGCAGCAGTTACACTGAAGTATTAATAGATCATCATGTGACATAATTACTTTTCTGTTAAATAAACTAGTGTGCCAGCTATTATTTTAAATAAATTTAGACCAATTAAGTTCTTCCCATATATTTAAGATCAAAATTAAAGTCCCTCCATACAAATAGAAACCTTTTACTGATCCGCAAGGTGGACAGCAAATAAATAAACCCTAAAGAATGGGGGAAGTGTTTGCCAGATCCTATCCTACTCCCTCATGATACCATTACAGAACAAGCCACCTTGATTGATATTTCTCAATTAAGGATACCCACTTTCCATTGGAGAATGAAAACCACCACACACAGTGGTTCTTTAGAGCAGTGAGGCACTAATGTCATTCTTGCATCTCCAATGTTCTAACTCCTAATAGTAGCTTCTAATTGAAGTGACCGTATTTTCTTCTGTGTGATGTGTTGCACCTAAGCATATCTATGTTTCTCCCTATATTACATTACTGTATGCTTGGGAACAGAAGATACATTGGGTCGTGTAACTCAGATGCACTAATTAAGTCACAGATAATGTGACTAATTAAACTATAAATGTTTAGATATTCAAATGAGAGTTTGGAAGGTTTAGATGTATAATGGAGGGTTTGCTTAGAAAATAGAAACATGTCACCAACATCCCTGGAACAATGGTCTCTCTGAAAAAGAATGATTTTTTTTATTTATTTAAATTTATTTTTCCACGATCCACAGATAAATATCATCAAATTTCAACCTTTTTTAGGCCAGCTTCTCTCCCTACATAAAGTACAGTCCAGTTCTGTTGAGTTTTCAGAGAATTATCATGCTTATGAACAAAACCCTGAATCCCTTTACATAATCTCTCCCTCACATTCACATTGTGTTGAAAAGAATAAAATGTCCTTCTACTTTCTACCTGCGCTGCATTTCATGAACAGGACTTTTTATTTAGCACTAAATATTCCTAAATATTCTCTTTCCTAATTTCAGCTCATTTGGATTAGCTTGTCAATCACAAATTCTTCTCAAAGACCACTTCCTAGAAATTTCAGAGGTGGGGGTATAACGAACAGAGTAGAGCTTAGGAAAGAATCTAGTCTAATTAAAGCTCATCTGATTTCTTTAGAACCATTACATGGTTTTTCATCTGATTTCAATAAGTTTTAACTTTTTGCTTACAGCTATGACAGCCAACTGAAAAAAATCACTGTTTACATTATGCAAAGGAGAAAAAGTTACTTCAAGGCCCATTTAACATTCATATGTTTTCAATATATGTTTATTGAGCATTGATGAAAAACAGTCAGTCTAAAAACATTTGCGGTAACCATTTCATGGCTACTCAAGCCTATGTTCATACATTACATCATCGTTCAAACAACTTAACACAATGCTATTTGAAACAGTTATTGTGATTTTATACAATTAGGCATACAAAAATAATTCTACATTTAGAAAATAAATCATTTCTCAATAAATTACAATATACTCTTTAAAACAGGGTTTGTGTAAAATAGGTAATAATACAAAAGAGTTCTAAAATAACAAGTTTTTCATTTCTGAAACTTTTTGGCATCCTAGAAAATCATTGCATTTCAGATAGGTCAATATCTTTATAGTGGTCATTGACCAGGATGTCACACCATATAAAAGTGGGTCTGGGTGTGTTTGTGTGTGTGTGTGTGTGTAAAAAACAGTCAAAGACTCTGTCCTGAATAAGACCTGTAGCAATAGTAAAAGCATTTAGACGTATATACCACTTTGCAGTGTTTTACAGCCAACTTAGAGCCAGTAAGAATTGAACTGCCAAACTGCTGACAGCTGGCAGTCAGCAAAATTAGACTGCAATGCTGCATTCTAACCACTGCGCCACCATGGCTCTTTAGTATATCAGTAAGATGGCACCCAAAGGTGAGCTGCTAAAAGAATGCCCAAGGCAGCAGCAGAATGGGAGGAAGATCAAGCAGAGGAAGTGCCATGGTAAATCAAGACCCTGCATGGGATATATCATCAATAAGTATCTGAAGTGGCAGACATTGGGAAATCTTACTGGTGGCTGGGAAGGGCTGGAGTAAAATATAGCACTGGCAGTGATCTTAGAAGCATAAGAATAGTCACTATGTACCAGATCCCTACAAGCCATGTCTACCTCACTATATAGGACCCAAGGTGTAGACTGTGTAGAGAAAGAGACCTCAGAAACATTTCAACACATACTAGCAGGGTATAAGTGGCATGTAGGAAATGCATACAGTGAGCAGCACAACCAAGTAACTGGCATTGTGTACTGGAGTCTCTGCACAGTGTATGGACTAGACTCTTTTAAGTCCAGATGGGAGATTCCACAGAAGATTGTGGGAATATATAGCAGTGCCAAGTGCCACTAGCATCAAGAAGGAATATGAGAAGATAGAAAAGTACCAGGACCCAAAGGAGAGAGAGGATGTGGAAAGTAAAAGTCAAAATGGTCATGATGATGATAGGAGCACTCAGGGCTATGATTTTTTAAGATGGGTTCCAGCAGAGCTCTCTGTGTAGAAGAGTACAATGCTAGAAACAGCTAATATACTGTGCAGAATCCTGATACTTCCAAGCCTTTGGTAGAGGACTTAAAATTGAGGAAGATTCATATTACTCATTGGGTTCAGAATGGATTTAAAATGATTGGTATCTGATAAGTGTTGGCTGGGCATTGAAGCCAAATTTGATGAGTTCAGGTTAGGTCGTGGAATGAGACCACCAGAAGAACACAAGTCACACAGTTACAAAGGTTTGTTTCCCAACAGCTTGCAAGTCTCTGTACATTTGCTTAGGAATGAGTGCTCCATGGATCCATTGGTTAACAAGTACCAGCAGTCACAGCCTTTTCTGTAATAACAACCCATCCCTGAATTATTATGTTCAAGGTATCCATTAATGATACATACAGTCATCATGCCAATCCTTGTAGGAAACATTTTGGCAATTACCTCTGTTCTGCATTGAAGAAAATGGAATAACTGTTTAGATAAATTGTTAAAACTGTTTGCTTTGCTTTTTTCTATATTTTATCTAGTAATTCTATTGAAATTAGATTTGCATTCTGTTACAAAATTTTAACAGTTAAGATGACACATGATATAAAGAAACAATATATTAATGCTCTTCAGTGATTTTCAAAGACATTGCAAAGAAGGCACAGTTTCAAATATTAACATCCACAATATCTCAATTCAGGCATTGAGCAAAAATTATAAGAAAAACAAACATAAGCAAAGCTCTTTTTATTGTATCTGGATCAAAGTTCTCTGCCCTGAGTTTTCCAATGTCAAGATTGTTAATGCAGTGCTTATAATATAAAAGAACCGTTGATCAATATCACAATGTTTTTTGTTTTGGAAGAGATTGCTGTGAAATAACTGTAACTTGGTTTGGAGATATCTTGTATTCTGGGCCAGAGCCTTGTGGAGGTGAAGGTAGTGGAGTTTCAGGAGTTGCTGGAAAAAAATTTGAAAATAAATTATCAATAATCAAATCAAAGCTGTGCTAGTAGTGTGGAGTGGATGTGGGAGCAATAACCAGCATTGGCTGAACTGAATTATAAATAACCAAAAATTCTATTTGTTACCACTCACTCAATTTGGTATAGTAATGAAGAAGGGTCTAATAATTAAGTAATCTGACTGTGGGCTAATTCCACTAGGCCAGCTGCAATAATACTGTAAGAATCAAAAGTCCATCTAGTGCAAATCACTAAGCCTAAAGTTATCCTGCAAACTGGATGGTTTGCAAATGGCAATCACAACAGAGGCCCATAACTTAAAACAGGGATGAAAAGCAGGCAATTCTAGGACCAGTGGCAAATTCCTATGAAATAAATTTGTTCAGATTTCTTCTATGTGTAAGAGAGTGAGAATTTTAGAAACAGAGGGACAATGGGGAAGGACAGAAAGAGAAGGGTTATATCTGTCTATTTTTAACTCAGGTCCTATCATGCTTCAGCTTCTCATAATACTTGACGTAAAAAAATATACTCAGCCTAAAAAGATTGTCTATCCCTAACATTAAGTAATGCTCCAGTATCTTAGCTATGTTATGAGATAATCATAACTGCCCAATATTTCAGCATCAATTGCAACATTATGTTGATATGTGATGATAATGATCTTGATGATATGACCCAAATAATATCACTGTCTTACTCTTTCTTGATTCTACCGATACTAATGACCTAAGAGTAATAAAAGTATCACAGTAAAATGTATGCTGTTCCAAATAGGATTGTCTTTTGCAAAATTAGTAATGTCAAGACCAGTAATCTTAAAATTTCCAAATATATTGTGAATTCTATTGTATTCCATCAAAAGTTCCAATTTGGCATGGCAGCTGATGGTTGTTTTTCATCTAATTATAAACTATCAACAATTACTGTGAACCACATTTTCTTTTTATAGCCTTATTGTCTGAAATATTATGTTCATATCAATTTGATAATCAAAATACAACAATATTTTGAATTTCAAATCCCACAGAATGAAAATGATCACCTGATGAATCCCAAAACTGTATGTAAAAACATTAATCTTTTATAAAACTGGGGGGGAAAACCCAAATCCCATTTAATTTGGACAATAAAACAATAGGAATGCAATAATTTAAATCACAGTTTGTAGACTAAATTGCTACCATATTGTTATTGTTGAAAGCAATTACTAAGTGAGTAAGAATTATCTGTTCACAGCAAAAGAATGAACTTGGAGGGTGGCTGGGGATGAAAAAAAATTCATTTTGGCAGAAATGGAGATCTGTTTCTGTATAATTTCTGGACCAACTGGCATTGAAGAAAAAAATATTTCTTCCTTCTATATGACAGGAGTATGTGTGGAATTATGGAATGAAAATTCCTTGAGATTATTGTCAAAAGTAAGAGCAATTAATTAATTAATTAATTAATCATAATTTTTTAATTAAACAATATTTAATTATTTAGTAATTAATTAACTAACTACATTTATAATCAAATGATCCATTGTTAATCAACTTACCTATCTGCTCTGTATGAGCAGAAGCTATTACTGAACTTATAAGCAGAGTTTGCCCAGTAACTGGATCCTGGGCTAGATGAGGATGAATTGGGTGGATATTAGTAGCATCATTAAATGTACCTGCAACATTGTCACCAAATAAGTATTTGTTAAAGTGAAAAAGTTGATACTATCCAAAGTATGTTTCTCTAATCAAAAAAGAAATTTAGCATCCCATTTACAGAGACAAAGGTAAAGATGAAAATCAATATAGGTTAGCTGCAATCTTATAATTAGCTAAACGTGAAAGCACAGATGATCAGTGCTGTTCATGAAAAAGTTCATAAATTTAGAAGCTCAGAGGAATTTTAAGTCTATGTACTGTAATCACAATGAACTTGTTGATTAAACACAACTTGGACCCAAAGAGTAGAACCCATCATATATATATATATACCATGTTACACTGATTCAAACCTTTGGCAAACTAGAACAATATTGTGGTATTTATTTGAAGATCAACAACTTTTATGATTTTTCTCCAGTCATAATAAATGTGAGCATAATTTAATCAACTTACTCACCTCCAAGCAACATTTCTTGAAGTAAACTGTCAATTTTAACCATACCAAACAGTTTTACAAATTGTATTTGCTCAATCATTTGCCAGGTGATACTCTGGACTGTAGGCAGAAGCAACAGGAGTTCTCCAAAGCGACCTCTAGAGTCATACTGGTGGTCATTGATGTAATCCTCCAAACTCATTTGAGCCTGAAATCTCATGTTCCTGACCTTCATTGGGTTATTCAGCCCCTTTGCATCTTCAAACGGCAGAGAAAAGTTACATAAATATGCAACACATAACTGGATAACTTAGTTTAATCTCAGAATTAGCCTATTGACTCTCCTATAATGAGTCTACTGGCTCTAAGAAGATGAGAGTGAAGAAGTGTTACAAACGGAGCACAGAGATGCTCTTACCATACTATGTTTAATTGGGTGGGAGTTAGCACATCATGTGAACTTGCTAAAGTAGTTAACTAACCTGCACAATTAATCAGATGAGGATATTTTTAGCTTTGAACAACCTCAGGCAGTTTGATTTAAACTGAATCCTTCCAGTGATCCATATCATGTAAGCTGTTTATTAATACATTTAATGGTTCTGAAAAAGAAAAAATAAAGCCTCAAAGAGACTTAGAAAAAAGGGTCTACCATGGACTCTGTTACCTGCTTTTTTGGGGGGGTTAGCTTATTCTTATGAGGAACTGTAAAAAAAAAAAAACAGAAAGAAAGGAGTAGGGGGAAAAGACTTCCCACTCTTGACTTCATGATGGTACCAGCCTTGACAGTTTCATCACAATTTCTTTTTCCTTAATTTATTTCTATTTAAAAAAAAAAAAGATAGAAAATGGCAGTCTTCCAGCCTCCTTTATGGTAAGTTGGGAGGACTGAAAAAATAACCAATGCATAAAAGACCCAGTTATCCTAGTCTTTGTGCTGGCAACATACAGAATCTGTTGATTAAAAAAGCTAGAGTGTATAAACTCAGCAATGTTTATGTTTGGACTTTTGCCTTAATAGGATAACATGTGAGTATTTAGAGCAAAGAAAAAAAACCTTGCACTTTCCAAATTTATGATTTTCAGTATTATTTCTATCACAGAAAATATTAAGCCATGTTGTGGAAAATTAAGCTCTGACACTTCCTGGAATGAAGCTGCAGACGATAGGAAACAAATAAATGAATACTGAATATGTGTGTTGCCTTGAGTTGTTTATAAAAAATAAAGGTGATATATAAATAAATAAATTAATTAAAAATCAATGCCTAGGATATCAGAAGGATGAACACTGAATCCAAATAATTTATCTTGAACGATCCAGGGCTAGGGGCAATAAATATGTTACTTAGAAAAAATCTGGCAACAGATAAACTCTCAAGGCCAGCCAAGAGAGGGAACTCTAAGGAATCATATGTAGGCATTTAAGGGCAAATTGTATTGCCTGCTCTCCATCAATTTCAAAAGCTGCCTTCTATTTCTGTTAGTCCTTCCTTTAGGAATTGGTGACACACCTAAGGCAGGGTTGTCATAAAACTTTTTCATTTCTCAACAGGCACAAGGATTAAAGTTTCACTGAAAATCGAAAATATCCATTATAAATCTGATGTTGTCCAGATAATTCCCAGCCAACATGCTGATGTTTCAAAATGTTAAAATATGTTTGAGTCTCAATCATACAAAGACCTAGATGACAAAGTCCGGTTACACAAAGACCTATAATAACTCTGCTTATATTTGGAAAGCAACCATTTTTGTTACATTTGGAAAGGAAATTCTGAAGTATACCTGGATCAAAAAATACAATCGCCTTTAGGCATGCATATTCATTATCATCAATCTGAATTTCCTGAAATGGCTTAATGAGCTCATCCAGGATCCGGTTTGCTACTCTGCTAATCTCAGTTTCAGAACTGTTGCGATGGATGACAAAATCATTACCTTAAAAATAAAATCAGGTCAAAATTATTAATGATATCTGTGGCTTAAAACTACAAAGCCAATTACTATTTATTCACTGGTACATTTGAACAATTAAATACTCATCATTGTTTTCCCCCCACCACATGTTATGTGCCACCAATAATCTGCTTAATTATAACCATACAAATATAATATCATTTCACTTCATAATTGTGTACTTATCTAAATATGTCTATTTTTGAAGACAAAGTAGATCTTCTATATATAGAATAGCTGAAAGGCCAAATACTGTGCAAATTCATGTCCTGTCACAGATTTCCCAAATCAAATGCATCTGTTTGACTGCTCTGAAGAACAAAATCCTACATGTTCCACTTCCCTGTGGTCAATTGCTGAAGGTTGTGATTTATAAGTTCAGAGCTGGGAATAAGATGTTACCTACTGATGGTAGAAAGCCTTTCAACTTTTAGTTAAGTATTGGGGACAAAGGAGGGTAGCTCCTCTATGAACCAGCAGGGTCTAGCTGGTCATATGAATATTTTATCCCCAAGGAATATGTCCAAAAGCAGAGAAAAGGAATAAGGCAAAGGTTATGCAAACCATATGTGATGAATTGGGAAATGAGCCAAAATGTTTTCTTCTGCCAATCATGAGGAGAAATAAATCCTCATTTCAAGGGTCATGCTTATGGCAGAAGCAAAAGGATCCAAAAGCAATACTATTTGGGGTGTTTTTCCTCCAAGAAAAAAGTCCCTTCAACAACAATATTACAACAACAATAACAACAACATCAACTATTTCATCTGCAAAATAAAATTTATAAGATATGGTAGCAATAGAAAACTCTGATTCACTTTCAAAAGTAAGGAGAATTCCTATTTTTATGCAAAACAGTCCTGCCTCGGGATTTAATGAAAAACCTGTTTTATTATGTACCCTCAATTCTGGATTAATGCACTCCAAACTGAAGTCCTATGCATACTTTTCACTAAACATAGTTAGGGTTTTATTGATAAAAAAAACCAAAATAAATATAACCTAACCTAAAAGAATGATGTCTTTGTAAGCCATAGACCTTTTTGCTGCTCCAAGTAAAAGATGTTCTCCAGCATGTGCTCTTAACAGGGCAACCTTGGATATAAAAAACAGCAGATAAAACGTCAGTATAAAATATTAAAACAGAACATTAAAGAAAATCCAAACTGAATTAGGATAATCGGAATTATAGCTGTTCCTATTATGTTTAAAGTCTTCTTCTTTCCCAGAAAAAACATTGAAGATGTGAGGCTTCTGTTCAGAAATATATTGAAATTTTATCTTTTCTTTTAAAGAATTCATTTGTTTCCTAAATATTTTTGATACCTAAATATATCATGATATCACCATGCTTAATTGTGGATAACTGATCTAATAATAGCTAAATTCATACAACTTTTTGAAGCCCATAAAATCTTGGATGTGGCCTAATTTCCATTTATCAAATTCTTATCAAAGTGTAAAAGATTCTTTTCCATGCAATGCAACAGTGGATTTTCCAAATCATGCCTTTTTTTTCAGCAATCATATTTTGCCTTGATTTTCTATTGAATGTCTATGTAAACATATTGGCTCCATTCTATATGGTAGGAAATTCTGAAATCTGCTTGACATTCCCCTGTGGCTGAATCCTACCATACTTCCTTCTCAGATTCCATAACCAGTTCTGCATGAATATAAGCTTAAAGATCCTTAGTTTGATTTTAAATCATAGAATGATATTCTCCCCAAACTGAGAAAAAGGACCTAAAATAGATGCTTTAATTATTTCATACCTGGTCATCCAGCCGTAGTTCACAGAAAGCTGGAATATATTTTGCCCACTCTACAAGAACCAAGAGCTGTTGCTTCATAGATTCACAAACATCACTAACACCCGCAATTTTCTTATCACTGATGTCAGTAGTGCCAAGGTTTAAACTTGAAAGAGGAATCTGGGTGACACAAAGACTCAAATTGATTAAAGATTCAAAAGGCTATACCAGTCTTGATAATAGTTAGTTTATAAATGTAGGTATACATTCAGTTAAATAAGTTAAAATCTGTATTATTCAGGGTTCAGAAATTCTATTTTATTTACTTTCTATTTCTGAGTATATTCAAAGCTCATATATTTATTATTTAATATGCTTCCATACCACTCTCCATATATCAGATCTTAAATTACTTGTTCAATATTAAACACAATCTCAAAAATAATAAATTAGAGTAATATAAAACATTTATTAAAATAAGGGGAAAGAATGTAAAAAAATAAAATGATTCACCCTATACTTGTACAGATAAAGGTTCAGTAAAGTTATATCGATTTTTCGATGAATTTATAAAATCCTTCAATCAACCATAAAAAACAGAAATACAAAATAAAACAATGCAATAAAAAAGAATTAACAACTACCATTAATTATAAAAAAAAATTACAGGTAGTCCTCAACTTTCAATTATTTGTTTAACGGTGGTTGAAAATTACGATCACCTGACAAAAAGTGCTTAATGAGGTCAAATATCAAGCCTACATATTAATTCTGTCTCAATAGAGAGTTATCCTTTAGGGTGATTTTTGAACACTATGCGTCTCTAAGAGCATCTGCAGCTACACAGAAGACATTGTGGCAAAATATAGTCCAGATTCCAAAGGGGAAAGGAGTTCGTCCAAAGGAATAAGAGACAGCAAAGTTTAGTTTGGTTGGGAAGAAGGAAGAGGGTAAAATCAGCTCTTCCCTAGAGGTTCTCATTGTGTATCTTTAATGACGCAAGTAATTTACTTTAATTGGGTAACATTTCTGACTACGGGTATAGAACAATAAAGGAAAGTGCTTAGAAGTAAATCTGTGTGTCTTTTTTGGTTAGGCAGGCCTGACAGATACCTATCTTGTTCATATGCAGTACAGTAGAAACAACTGTTCAGAAATAGCTAAAAGATAGTAGAAGAAAAAAAAACCTGGTGAGTTGGGAATCAAAGCTAAAGCAATTTGAAGGAAAACAAACTGTTTTAGAAGAAACACATGATAAATGTCTGTTGGCTGAGACACAAAGAAAAAGAATAAGAAAAAGAAAAAAAGAAACATAAGTAGAAGTATTTTATTTCCTACAGTATATGAAGATGTTTATATATTGTATAATATCCCATCATATCACTTTTATGGTAATATAGTTTTCACCAATAGAGCAAAAATATTTAGAGTAGATCTTGCAGTCCTTGACCTTCTTCTGACTTCTTGAGGCATACTCCAAGTGATTGGAGAAACATTTCATAAGAACTCCTTACAGATTATACCTGATGGTGATAATGGTGTCCTTCTCACCTGAATCATTGAGTGTTATTACAAAGTAAGCCGAATAAAATTAGAATTCTCTTCAGAGAGCCTTCCTGTTTTATTTTGTTATTACAAATGCAAAAAGAATAGATATGGCTATAAATAATGGACTCGGAGAGTATTCAAGAGATTGAATAGGCACTGATGGTGGATTACTCTACCTGACGAGAAAGCACTTCAGCCTGGAACAGTGTGTTAATAGAAGGAGGAGCACTGCCATCAGAGGTGCTTCGCCTGGTACTTATTCGGTCCCGTTCATTTTGAACAGCTGGAGGAGGAAAAGAAGTGGAAGAACAAGAAAACATAAGCTATTCATATTTTGTTGCATGCAAACAATTGCAATGAATTATGTTTCAAACTGGTATTACAAAGTTATATAAATTTAAGGATCCATACTTGGCCATGGAGAAGAATGGCACTGTCTTTTAATCATTTATCCTGGCAATTGTAATCTATATATTTTTCCTAAATTACTAATTTCTACTAAGAACACTATCTAAAGAGGAAACTGTGTTTTGTGTTTGTGTGTGCGTGTTCGCGTGTGTGCTTGTAAATGCAAGCTTTTAAAAAATAGGGTGTGCCTCTGTATATGTGTGCATGCCAAGAAAACTGTCCATATAGTTGCTAGAAGATTAAGAGGCATGCATGCATGCATGCATGCACGCACGCACGCACACACACACACACACACACACACACACACACGCCTGAGGTGACATACACAGAAAGGCACAAATGAAAGCTAATTTGTCTTAGTGGCTGATGATTCATAAGACAGGATAAACATACTGATTTAGAGAAAATTGAAATAAGTTGACAAATACGTTGATGAAGAAATGAAAGGCACAGTGATTGAACATTGCATTAGTGCTAGAATTAACAATTACTCCCTTTTAATTAATCAACTGGTTAACAGACTTGATTGGAGGGATGATTTTTAAAAATCCTATTTTAAGGTAATTATGTCATCCCAAAAGAGGGATTTCAGAAGACTGTAATATACAAGGAAGCAAATTACTTGTAAAATTTGTTGGGGAGGCAGTCAACTATATCACGGTTTATATAGAGTCATTTAAACTTCCAATACTTGTGCATTAGAGTTGATCATTTTCTCCTACACAATAGGTTTAAATATTTTCTATCCACACTTTTCAAGCTGGGGAAAAAAAATTCTTCACCACACAATACTTTTTACACTTTCTGTCTCAGCACTTTGAATTGTTGAGGAGAACCATAGAAACACATTTCTGCACTTATAAAGCAATTTTTTAAACACACACACACAGAGAGAGAGAGAGAGAGAGAGAGAGAGAGAGAGAGAGAGAGAGAGAGAGAGAGAGAGAGAGAGAGAGAGAGATGTTACCAATGCCATGAGGCCCAGGGGAACTGAGACATTTCCCAGGATTTGTTTTTATCTGTATTCATGTTTTTGAGGAATACCTGATACTGCCTGTCTGCAAACAGAAATATACTTGTTGGGACATGAGATAATTTAGTTGTAGCACCTAATTATATTCCAATAAAAGATGGCTCAGCAATTAAGTCACTGGGCTTGTCAGCTGGAAAGAGTCAGCACCACACAAAAGAGTGAGTTCCCATCCTCGCCCCGTCTCCTGCACACCTAGCAGTTTGAAAGCATGTTTAATGTAAGTAGATAAATAGGTACCACTTCAGTGGGAAGGTAACAGTGCTCCATGACTTCATGCTGGCCACATGAATGTGAAAATATCTTCAGACAACTGCAGGCTCAATGGCCTTGAAACGCAGATGAGCTTTGCCCCCTATAGTCAGCAACAACTCTTTTACCTTTTTTTTTTTAAATTCCAAAAAGATTAACCTAGCTTTTTGTTTTCAACATTTAAGAGTATTTACTCTGGTGGAGATTTCTCAGAGTTTTTAATTACAAATTTTAAAGCTATTTTGGTATGACTATCATAATGTTGATACATTCATTTTGGTCCCTGTTTATTATCAAAGTTTAATGTTGAAAGCCTGAAAAAAAGGTCTAAATGGCTCATGTAAATATTTTTTTATCAAAAAGCTCCAAGATATTTGCACGGAAATAATAGAACACTGAAACATAGACTGAAATATTAAATAGCCAGCAAACATTCTTTTTCCGCCTACTATAACATTTAACAACAGGAATTCTGGCCCTTACATAACCAATATAGAACTATTGGACACAAGCAAAAGAGGGCTGTTTCACCTTTAATAATGCCACAGAAGACCAAATTTTCTGTGATGACAAATTGTACTTGCTGAAATACATCTTCTATGTGACCTCTCAAGATGCATGAACAATATATCTGTATTTCTAGAGTGTTCTACCTCATGTGTGCACACATATACACATACACACACACAAACAAAAGAAAAATAGCAGCATAAATTCCATTTTTTTTCAGAGAAAAGAAATACTGTAATAAAGAACAAGAAAACTAAAATGTTCCCATTCCCCACTAAAAAATCTCTGAGTATATCAAGAGTATGTTGGCTAACTTTTTTGAATCAAGGAGGGAGGTGATATATAACTACAAGAAACTATTGTGAAATCCTAGGTTGTTGTGGGTAGAACAAAGCATATTGGAAGCCAAGAGTTGAAAGAAGTCTGAGAAACAGATTACACTTTCCCTATACAGTGCACAATGTAATCTTTCCACTTTTACCATTTATGATAGACAGATCTTTCCACCATTTCCCAAACTAGCTTAACTAAACACATATGATATGTGCATTCAAAGAAATGCATGGTAATACTTCAAGAAATCCAGATATTCTCAAAATATTTTTAAGACATTTAAATTCAGTATCTACAACATTATGCAGGATTTATCCTAAGAGAAAGCAGATAAGGTGGCCATTCCTTCCCCCCTTTACAGTTCTCGGGCCATCAGATTCATTTTCCTGAAGACATTTTAGATTCTTTACAGCAAAGAGAATAAAGACTTTGCATAAGTTTCATTCACTTTTTTTCCCCCTGTGGGATCATTTTATTTTGTGGCCTTCAATGTGCAATTCTGTATTCCATTATAGCATTTCAGGAAGCTTGTCCACCCCAAGGATAAAACACCCAGACAAAAACCAAGCAATGTGATATATGCCATACAATGCAGTGAGACATGTGGAGATCTATACACTGGCAAAACAAAACTGCTACTTCATAACATAGGTAAGGTGGCCAACCATCCTCCTTTAGGGAGGACAGTCCTCCTTTTGTAAGTTCTGTCCTCCCTTGAAAAGTGTCCTCCTACTGTCCTCCTTTTTGATATTTGAAGACTAATCTGCAGGGCTTTTTTTTTCTCATAGAACGCTCAGAATGGCGTTCTGGCACCTTTTTTTTATTTTTTTTTTCAACTTTTGCATGAGCTGTGCTACTCCCGCTATTGGCTTTCGAAAGCCAATAGGAATTGCTGCTGAGCGTGCCAAAACATCCGACTGGCAAACTTTGCACATGCAAGTTATCTGCATTATTGTTGCAATGAATAAAATGTTTCTTTTATTTACAATATTTTTTTCTTCAATTTATTTGTGTCCTCCTTTTCATTGTAAAAAAGTTGCTCACCTTAACATAGGAGATCAAACCTATCAGGACAAGATTCAACTGTCAATCTGCATTTGAAAAACAAAGGTCACTCTTTTGAAGATAGCAAAGTCCACATTTTGGATACAGAGGGTCATTAGTTTGAAAAAGGTGTAAAAGAGGCCATTTAGGTTAGCCCTCTCTCAACAGAGGGGGAGAGATAAAACACCACCTACCTCTAGTCTACAATGCAGCTCTTGCCTAGTGCCAAGAAAATTCCACAAACAATTACACTGTGAAGGCAAAGATAAACCCCCAAGTGGCCGCATGAACTCAGAAAAAGAGCAAAGGGAGCAGTTGTCTGCAAGAAATACAATTGGTTCATTTCCTCCACCACCATCCAGTCAGAACCTATCCTTCCATCCCCCCTCCACCCTGTCTCAATTGTCAGTATCTATCCTCCATCCCTCCCGTCCCACCAACTGATGAAGTTTCTTGGATGAGAAACAAAATGATTTGTTCTTATTCCTCCAGAAAAAACAGTCCAGTTGCCTTTTGAAAAAGCACTTTTGAGACAACAATCATATAAGTATACAGAAAGAGAACGCCATTTTGAAATTACAGCAAGGTGTTCATTAAAAGGAATAAAAAAAGGTTCCCTCCCTCCCCTTTCGAAAAGGTTTATGCATAAGGGCATGTCAAGGACTTAGTTCCAGTCAATGTATCTTTTTAGTTCATACAGAACCTTATCACTTTTTGTGCGAGCAGAGATTGTATTTCCAGTTATCTATTTGCGATTTTTAGTGAAGCAATCTGCATCCAAGAAGTTATAAGTAGCATCAATGCTTCAATAAAAAAATGTGTTCAGCTTACTATACAGTATTCACAGCTTATATGAAGAATGAACACACTTTATGGTGAAGACACACAAGATTCTTAGCCAAGGACATTCGCTGATGGGCCTTTTATTAAGGTCATAATAAGAAATGTCATACAGTGATAAACACTAAGTGATAAATGATCATGTAGACATGAATCAAGAATGATGTCCCAGGTTTTTTTTTAAACTGGAAAAATGTTACCTTTCTCATTCCTTAACTCAGCATCTGAACAACAAAATTCAGTTAAAAGCTTTAAATATAAAATTATACCAGAGAGATCATCACCTGTTTTGATTTGCCAAGCTAAATAGAGAAGCTATGTGGGGAAGAAAAAGTAATTTTAAAAAAACTGAAAAGTTTCTCAGAAATAAATACTTAGCTTGCACATAATTCATCTTGAAAGTGTTATTGTGTGTATGAGTGTGTGTGTGTTTGATGAAATCATATTGTAGCATGAAGTGCTGTTAAAATATAAAAATCTGGGAAGAATATGAAAGATAAGCATAGAGGTTCATTGATATAATTCTTCATGGCCAGGTAAATCTTTCTCCCTTAAATTATTTCAGTTTTCTATGATTCTTCACATCACATCCTAGACAAGTTTCCAAATTAACCTTCAGCTAGGAAGGGTAGTGAAGACTGTGATAGGTGAAGAAGGAAGAGATGAAGAACAATAGAGTCATGGGAATATCAAGAAACCATCAAAAGCATTCTATAACTGAAGTTTTAGGATGATTAAATCTCAAATAGCCATTGTACAGTATCAGACCCTGATGAACAATAAAAATTGCAAAAATGAGTTAAGAGACTATTTGGAAGAGAGTCACAGTATTTTCTTTTATACAAATCTGAAATTCTTCTTTAAGAAAACAATAATATTGCAATCCTATACTTCAGCCTTTCTACAACACAGTGTTCCCCAGATGTTTCAGCAATGTGTATGCTGGCTGGGTATGATGGAAATGAAGATTCAACATATCTGGAGGAGATGCATTTGGCAAGTGATTTTGAATATGTATCTGGCAGTATAAGACCTTGAAGTTATATCTTAAAAAAAGCAAGTATAAGATTCACTATATGGAATTAAGCAATAAAGTATTACTGTCTTTCACTGCCTCTCATTCTCCATCTCAGGAGAAGTAAACTAAACAGTTTTCTATGAATATTCTGAAACTGAGCTGACAACATTTTTATTTTGAATATGTCAATGGCAATTGAAAAAGAAATTTAAATGTTATTATTCTTACTTTACTAATGGCTTTGGCGTTGCTATTTCATTTGGATTTGAAATAAACCACTATGTAACTTTTCTAAACCGAATTCAGAACAGATGGGATTTGTGTTTGTTTATTATGCAAATGTATATGCTTCCTCTTTATTCAAAATATTCCTCAACTCAATTACTAATGGGGTTAAATTTTAGACTTGTATACAAAGAGCAGCTGGCATGGATAGTCATTTCTTTTTTCCTTCCCCAAAATTTTGTTTGTTTCTTTATTTAATGAAAAACAGGCTCTATGGCTACAACTGGGAATCAGTTTCCTCTTGTTTGTTGATCAAAACTTCTCTTCTAGCTTCTTCTGCTATTAAGGGAGAAAAAAGCTCAAGGACCTCATACACTAGAATTGCTGTATGGGTGAGGTAGCCTTATAAGTTGAATGACTGAATGAAATATTTTTACCATTGGCTGTAAAGCAGATGAATTAATGATTTGCTCAATCTGGTGAGAAGGATAAGTGTGTCAGATGATATTAAATAGCCTTTCTGCCTGTCAGTCTTCCCAGTTGCACTTTCAGAGGCTTTTCTTAATTACTTTTAAGAAAAGTCTTTTGGAGAAAAGAGACATTCCAGATGCAATGAATTGTTAAACCTAAATTGTTCTTCAATATCAAAACTGAAGAATTTTTTAAAAATCTACAGAGATATTTGCAGATTAGGTGAAAATAGAGAAGGAGTCATTATTATTTTTCAAAAGTTATAGGGTGATCAAGAGATCATGTATAGATTTGCTTAACCTTTAAAGATCCTGGCACACTAACAGCATCATCTGTAAGATTAGTGGCAGAACTTGAGGCAGAGTCAAAGGAAGACTCAGACTACAGTCTCTACATAGCCACAAATACCTTGTTGTATTTGTATCTTTAATACCTTGTTGTGTACTTTTCCTCATCAAAATACATTCAGCCATTCATTTTTAGGAGGAAACATAAGTAGATACTCAGAAATATAATTAGCCTGAGGACTAAGCCTCTGACCCGAGTGACCACACTATGGTCATAGATTTTGATCTTAAACTACATAAACCTACTTTGAATTCTACGTACTAAAATAAAAAGAGAAACCACTAAATATTTAATATTAGTATTACCAAACCACACAGTTCTCTTCCATCTATGATATGGCAAGATTCTCAATGCACTATTTTAATATTCACATCTAGTTCCATCAATCATTCTTGCATAATTTATGCAAGTATTAACAACCAATGTGTTTTATAAGGAAATAAGAGTAATATACCATAATATACCATAATTCATAAAATCTCTGATACATTATCATTACTTTTCTCAGTTTATATCTGAAAAACTTAGGCCAAATGAAATGCCATCTAAAAATCCATATAAAACAGCGGTTCTCAACCTATGGGTTGCGACCCCATTTGGGGTCGATCGACCATTTTTTGGGGGTCGCCAAAGGCGGCGATTCACCATTTTCTCCCCTCCGGGGCGGTGCCGCGCATGGGGGCGGCGGCGCGCCTCCGGGGGCGCGCATGCGCACCGCGCATAAGGGCGGGGGGGTCGCCGTCACACAAACGTTGAGAACCGCTGCTCTAAAAGGATATTTTCTGAGATTCTGTTAATTCAAGTCTCCTATCTAAATCCAGCATTTAATCACAATAGATGCCACCACACTACTACTTATTTTTACAAAGCTTTGGGAACTGCATTTTTATGATAGCACTGGGCTATATGTATTTAGATATGTTTGAAATTACCATACCAATTTTTAGCATTTTAACAAAAATTGCATAGCAATGCAATGTATACAAGATATATTTAAACTTCTTTTTTTAAAAAAAAACTCCTTTCAAGGTAAGATATTTAGTACATATTCTTACATATTTTGTTTCCTGCTAATTTCTTTTTTTTAAATTACCTTCCTTCTTCATCCCAGCACGAAAGCACTTTTTTAAGCGACAGTATCTGCACTGATTTCTCTTGTCCTTATCAACAATACATTGCCGGCTAAATCTGTTGAACAGAATCAAGGGTAAATATATTAGAGTACAAGTACAGGAGGATCCTGATTAGCACAAGTGAAACAATTAATGGGCACTGTCAAAACAATGTCTTTGACTCTTAACCTTCACCAGTACTTTTTTCTTTAATCAGACTTGAAACATTTGTCTTTGCTATTCTTCTAACAGGAATAATTCCTTTTGATGGGCAAGTAAAATCCCATTAGGTTATTCATCATCTGCTGAAAGCAAGGCATATAAATTCTGCTCTCGGTTTCACGAATGCTTAGGATAACTCTTTTGGTCTCCCTTTGATCTGTTCCTGTTGTTGAATATGATCAGGAGCAAAAAATAAAAGAAAGGAGTCCTGTTAGATCAGAATAAAAGCTTATCTACTTTAGCAGTTAGTTTCCAAGTGGTCAAAATGATGCTTCTATAAAATAGTCATTCAAAAGATTAAAGCATCATCTCTCCATATTATGTGTACCATCATCTGGATCCAAGAGATACAGCCTTTGTTCAGAAAAGATCTGTTTATCTTTATTAATAGCAATTGATAAATATATCTTTTTAAGCAAATTAATGAATTAATCTGTCAGTGAGACTCTTTCATCAGAATTAAGAAATATTTCCAGCCTGAAACACACTGAGGCTGCCTGTCCCTACATAATTATTTCATACTCATGTTATAAAACTCATGTAAAAACAATGGAGAAAAGCAATGCAGTTTCTTTAAATAATAAAAGAGACAGGAAGATATCCTGATTACAGAGAGAGTGAGTTGGGCCTTGCCTACTGAATAGCATTAGCGCATTGTTTGAGCAAGGAGTGGTATAAAGAGATGAGCTACTATGTTTTAAGAAAATAGGCACATACGTAATTCTTGATTCACCATAAATGAAATCCAAAAACATATTTGCAAAAGACTTGCCATTTTCCACAGTACCATGTACAAGTTTTGATTGCTTGAGCCAGAATCTCAAGATAACAAAACATTTTGAAAAGAAGACCTGAATCTACAATAGTAATAGTGGAGGGGGGAGTACTGTTTAACCTCGGCAACAATCCTAGTCAACCTTCTCAAAAAAGGAGAAAAAGATCAAACAAAATGCCAGGGGGCACTTTGTAGCACAAATCTAGTCATACTTGAGAAAAAATGAAAATAACAGGGACTCACAGTAAGGCAACAAGAAGTAGTAAAAGCTGATAGAGGAGTAATTACTGAAGATCAAAATCTACATTTGATGTTACTTGGGAATGAACAGAATAGGGTTTAACATTATAAATTTCTGTTAGACAAGATAATTCAAATTTCCTCTGCTAATCTATAAACTTCTCTTGCATTAAAAAAAATAGAATGCGGCAAAGATTAAAAGCCAGAAATTAATGCTACTTCACTGAATCAGTGACTTTTTCAACACTAACTAGGTAATATGTAGTCAAGCACACAAAGTGTTTAAGAAAGCTTTCTCCACTCCACTCCAGGCTTCTAGATTTCATTTTTCAGAATTCACTAGCTCAGAATAGCTACTGTTGAGAACTGAAGATCACATATCTCAATACTCACAAATTGGGTAAAGCTAATTTAAGGCATATATCTTATTGGAATCAAGGATCTTTGTCTTCTATTCTCCTGATCTTGAATTTTGGATACTCTGTAGCGACAAAAGTTCACAGAACATATATCTAATTCAGAAAAGGGGAAAACTAGCATTTGCTAAATATATTAATGTTAACCTGGCAGCCTTTCCCAATCTGTTTTTGCCCAAAATCCAATCTCACAATTTCCAGCTATTGTGGGTCTCAATATATCTATCTATGTGTCAAATTAAAGACATAAATTTTATGTATCATCTATGGTATACATCCATGACGATCTTTGCTAATCTTTTTTTTCCAGTTTAATCACATTTAAATCGTTCAGTAAGTACCAAACACAATCCATACAATGTGTCTTGGACAATGTTATGCTTTGCTAAATGAACTTTAAAGTGATCTTCAGATCAATACTTCTTTTGAATGTGCACTTATTAGCAATGCCTTTTACCAATTTTGACTACTTTTTCACTTGTGGCTTTTCTGTAAAAACTGGACTTTGATATTTATGATTTGGTTATCATGAGATAATTACTGCAATGTGCTTTATATGGGGTGTCCTTGTGCCGGTCTCTGCAATGGAAAAGCAGGAAATGTATATAATAAATTAACATTTATTACACCAATAGTCCAAACTTGTTTGACAACCAGCACATTTCGAGGCTTAGTTCAAAGTGCTAGTTTGTCCTTTAAAGACTCAACACTTCAGATCATAGGATTACCTGATTTATCTTTGCATGTTCTATGCAACACTATCCATTCATTCTCTGTTGGGAACTCGCCAGCTAGGCTTGAAGGAAGAGTCAAACAAGGACATAATTTGGAAACATTGCATAGCTGCAAGTGGCAAATGCTTGACCTCATCCAAGATTTGGAATCCTTAACTTCTCATCCCACAGGAAGGCAAGAAATCTAAGGAGATTCTTGTAACATAGGGAGAAGTCAATAAAATTGTTTACTTCAGCTATTTATGAGTAGCTCTGGTTCCTTGTGTGTAGCATGCTCCAAATACTGTCATCAGATATGTCATGGCATAGAATATCTAGCTATGCGATTGTTTTTGTACCCACTTTCTAGAATTACTTCAGGATAAAGAGCCGAGGTGGCGCAGCAGTTAGAGTGCAGCACTGCAGGCCACTTTAGCTGACTGTGTTCAGCAGGTCAGCAGTTCAAATCTCACCGGCTCAAGGTTGACTCAGCCTTCCATCCTTCCAAGGTAGGTAAAATGAGGACCCAGATTGTTGGGGGCAATGTAAATGTATATATATATATATATATATATATATATATATATATATATATATATATATATATATACATTGCTTACTGGTGTACACCGCTTAGAGAGTGCTTGCACTTAAAGCGGTATATAAGTCTCATAAATAAATAAATAAATAAATAAATAAATAAATAAATAAAGGCCAGAACAGTTCTAGAAAGCTTTCCCCAAAGGCTCCAAAGGACTTCTCTTGGCTTTACAATTTTTAGTGACAAATTTAGTGACAAATTTAATTTCAGGCTTTAAATTAGAATTTATGTTCTTTTTGTACGAGCTCCCAATTCAAATGTTTTTAATTATAGATGTCAGGGGCTGAGGTTGGCACCTTTTATACACAACTGTGTATTGTGCCCTAACTTCAAATATTGCTTTTGTTTTCACCATATGCTCAATTCTGGATCTGGAGGAAAGGTCGAATAGAAATATGTCAATATAACACAAAGAAATAAGAAGTCCTAAACAGTTATATTGCTCCTACCTGCAGCTGTAAACATGGCTCTTTCGTATGCTGCGTCGGAAGAAACCTTTGCATCCATCACAACTAGAGGCACCATAATGCTTGCCAGTTGCTCGGTCCCCACATATTGCACAAATGCCACCAATCACATTGTCAGTACTGTTCATGTTGAAAGGTTCTGCTGAACAACTGTCTGGGGAGGGGGAGGAACAAAGGGAGGAATAATTAGAAGTTGAGCACTGACTAGGGAAGAAACAGAAATGTTAAATGTTACCATCCTGAAGATTTTACAGATCATCTCTTTAATTAGCTCTTGGCATTCATTTTATTTTATTTATTGAATTTATTAAATTTCTATGTCACCCATCTCAACTTAGTAGTTCAGCAGTTTACAACAGCATAATAAAACTATATAAATAATGAATAAAATATTAGCTTAAAAATACAGTTAAAACAAGTCAAAACCTACAAATGAAGATAAATCAGATTAAAAAGACTAGGAGGTTAATAAGCAGTAAGAGTGTGCTCAGGGCACCAGCCATCCCCAGGACATTATATTTTTAGACCTTCATGCTAATTGGCAAAGCCAGGTATTAATACTCTTCTGTTAAAAATGGAAAGGAGTGGGGGTTCACCTCACTTCTGGAAGTAACATGCTCCATAGGGCGGGGCAGCAGCTGAGAGAGCCTTCTCCTAGATCCCGCCAGTTGAAACTCCTTGACTGATGGGATATGCAGCCTGCTTTGCTTGCTTGACTTGGTGGGTAAATGTAATTGGGTCAAGCCGGTTTCTCAAGTATACTGGCCCCTTGTCCTCAGAGGGCTTTAAAGATGATAACCAGCACCTTGAATTGGAGCTGGAAGCAAACTGGCACCCAATGCAACTCACAAAGCAGAGGTGTTAAATGCGCCATCATAGAGACACTCCAAACATTTGCAGTGTTGCATTCTGCACCAGTGCAGCTTCCAGATATGTTCAAGAGTAGCCCCATGTAAAGTGCATTGCAGTAATCCATCTGGGAGATTACCAGGGCATGAGAGATTGAAAGGAAAGTTTCTCAATCCAGGAAACGGAGTAAGTGGCAAACTCTCCTGGCCACAGGTGCCTCTTGCTCCTGCAGCATGAATTGTAAATTCAGGAGGACCCCCAGATTACACACTGGGTTTGTCTAGGACACTACTGCAGATGTTTTTGGATTACAACCAAGGCACATATTACTGTTGGTATTAACTTTGCTTTCTTTTGCCACAGGCATTCTATTTCTATTTGCACGTCTTTGTATTTTGTATTTTCTCAAGTTGTTTATTTTTTATTCTGTTGTCTCCAAATATTGCAATGCCCATTTTCCAAACTTTTGTTGTCTTTTTCCAGTGTAAGTATTAATACTTACATTGGCATTATGTTGATCTTATACTAAATTTAGTTTATAATAATTTATAAATAATCAAACTGTTAAAATAAATGGAAAGTAAATTGCTTGGGTTGCTTTTCTCCAAATCTGCCCACAATTTGGTTCACTTTTCCAACCTCTTGTTTTAAATTTCTCTCAACTGGTTAATTAGCAGGTCAAATATATATGAAATATGGGAATATTGAAATAAGTAAAATGCATGCAGCCATCAAAATAATCACAACACATTTTCTCTGTTACTATTGATTATGATAATGAAAAGTCAACTCTCTGTTTTCATTTTGTTACTTAATTTTGAAATACAGAATTATCCTTTAAAAAAGTGCAATAATACTATTTAAGTTCCAACTAACCTGGTATGAAAAAATAAACGTTGCTGAATAAAAAAATAATTCAGCCAAACATTTGTTCTTTCTTCTGTCTCTTCTTGCAGCCATATATGCCTAATCTGCTTTATATCTGACTCAGTCATCATTGCATTGGAAAGAAAAACTAAATCTAGGCATTGACAATTCAAGTCTAACTCAAGTTAAAAGTTACCCTAATCAAATAGCAAGAAATTATCTCAACTAATTGCCAAGATTTATCATGATTAATGACTTGTTTGCATATTGGCAGTCTAGAGGTATGACTGTACAGAGTGTTAAATATATCCATTCTAAACAGACATAAGAATATCTTTTCAGAGTAGCCACTAATTCCACCACCCCAAGTCCTGCTACCTTATCATAGTAGAGGGGATGTTTATGTGAGGAATGCATGAAGAACATTGGGTGTGTATGCCAAGAATATGTATTCCCAGCAGGGTCACCCAAGGTGTAAAGGTCATTCAAGCTGTCCAGAAAAAGTGTGCAGCCACCTACCCTGGGCAACAGCAACATAGAAAGATGCTGGAGGCAGATGATCACTTTAGTGACAATGGCAAAAGCATTAACTTATACTGCATGGGAGAAGGTAATGGTAACCCATTCTTATATTTTACCAAGAAAACCATATGAACGGAAAATATAAAATGACTGATGATATGGTGCCGGATGTTGGTATCTCAGTTGAATGGCACTTGACATGCTACTGAGGAAGAAACAAGGATCCATCAGGGTACTAATGGTATTTATGATGTATCTAGATTAAAGCCTCAGTATGTCTAGTTGTTAATGGTGGCATATGGGGAAAGAAAGGTTGAAGCTGCATAGATAGAATTACAAGTAGGATCATGGAACATAAGAAGCATGAATGCTCAACACAGTGAAAGATGAAATGAAACAACTACAAATTGATATCTTAGGCATCAGTGAATTGAGACAGATTGATATCAGACATTTTCTGATATCAGAAAATCACACTTTATTGCTCAAGACGTGAAAAACAAAGAAGAAACATAGTTGCTTTTATGTTTAGAAAGGGTATAGCAAGAACACTACTTGTCTACAAAGCAATCAATGGACGAATAATATTGATTAGACTTGTGGACAACCCTTTAATATTACAATCATTCGAATTTAAGCTCCTAATGCTCCAACCATCGATGCAGAAAAAGAGGAAGTTAATGATCAACTTCAGTATTAAATTGACCAAACATTCAACAAAGATGTACTGCTTGTGATTGTTGACTAGAATACCAAAGTTGGAACACGAAAGTGGAAAATGTAGTTGGATTGCATAGCTTAAGAAACCAAAATGAACAGGAGACTGACTTCACAATTTCTGCCACTCCAATGATTTCTACATAGCCAACAACTAAACAACATAAATATGCCTTTCTACATGGATATCACCAGATGTAGTACATGGAAATCAAATTGACTGTATTGTTGCTAAAAGGAGGAGCGGGAATCAATTATAGCATCAAAGACATGGAACAGATCATGAACTGCTCATGTGTAAGTTCCAAGTTAAGCTCAAGACAAAAGCCAGTCAATTTCCACAATATGATCTTTAACGTATACTTACCATATTTTAAAGAGAACATCAGGAATTGTTCTGAAATCTTCAATTTCATTAATAGAGAACTACAGAAGTTATGGATTTAACTTTAAAAAGTTATTAACAGACTACATAAAGCATAAAAAGTCATTAGGAGAATTTAAAAAGACATAAGACCAGTGATTTTTTGTAAAAAAAAATAAAATAAAAAAAGTGCTGGAACTCACACATGTCATACAACCTGCCTTGCCTACCCTACAAGGTTCCATCCAAAAAAGGTGCCGGAACTCCGTTCTGGGCATTCTATGACAAAAAAAGCCCTGCATAAGACATTGCCATAAATGAATAAAGAGAAGAAAGCAAATTAAATATCAGACCCATAAAATTGCCAAGAAGGGAAGCCAAAGCCAAGAAAAAAAATCAAAGCCTCAAAAAAGGATCTTAATAGTTTCAAAGAGATCTTAGAAAAAGAATAAGCTGTGGAGCATGCTCAGAAAAATGACAATTCCAGAATATCATAGGAAACTTATATACAGGTCAGGGAGCCACATTTTGGACAGAACATAGTGAAACAGATTTGCTCAGGTTGCCAAAGGAGCATGACAAGAGCTGCATATTCTCTCTTCAGTTGTTCAAATTATACATATAATGAAGGAAGCTGAATTGAAAGATGAGCATGATTTTAATACTGGAAAAAGAAACATCAATAACCTGCACTATGCTGATGACACTACCTCGCTAGGTAAAAATTCTGCAAATTCTGCTAATAAAAATTAAGGAGCAAGTGAAAAATGGGACTAAAATTAAACAAGAAGACCAAACGAATGGCAAAAGGTAGAACAACAAGCCTTAGAATTAGCAATGAAGATTTCAAAGTGGGGAATACCTTCTGCTTTTTAAAATCAACTATCACAAACAAGCAACCAAGAAATCAGCCATAAATTAGCACTTGGCAGAGCAGTCTGTAAAGGCCTTGGAAAAGATTGTAAAAAGCTGTGATTGGAATCGTGCAAGCAGTGGTATTCCCTATGACATTCTATTGAACAAAATTGGGCTTTGAAGAAAGAAGCTAGGAAGAGTATTGGCATATTTTAATTTTCTGGTTGGAGAAGACACTTGAGAATATTGTGGACAGCATTAAATCACTTCAAAGTTCTCACTCAAGGCAAAAATGACTAGGCTCAAATTACCGTACTTTGAACACTTATGCAAAGACCTAAATCTTCAGAAAAAGTCTCTAATGCTAGGAAAGAGTTGCCTCCATCCATGAGATAAATGTCTTATACTGGTAGGGTTTTTGGGTGCCTATAATAAGTAAATTTATCCCATTGTTTCAATAAATTGATTTTACTGTACATCTGTTTTCTTATTTCCTAGAAGGTTCATTATACATTAATATCTTACATAGCTCTCCTATTCATCTAATATAATTCACAAAATTTAAGCTGAAGTATAAAAGTCTTACCAATTATATAAATAGGATTAATTTACCAAATGAAAGATTTATTGATAGGTTATATCCTACAAACCTTTCAACAACCAAAGTTGTATTAATTTGTTAGTAAGCATTTACTCATGAATAAAAAACAAAATCTAAATAAAAAAGATTTTGACAAAAAACACTTTTTTAAAACCTTGACCTGAATTATGAAAAGTAAAACATTTGGCTGATCCAATCTCCTTTACTTCCTTACCCATTCATAAATACAATAATTCAAACTCACCATTGCCATTGTACAACACCTGTATGGTTTCAAACTCTAAATTAGCATAACTTGGATCTAAGACTTCAGAGTAATTTGCCATATCCATGTTCAGAATTGGGTCTGAGATTCTCATTACTGTACATGAATCTGAAAATGGTCTGTTTCTCCAGTACAGAAAATGCCATCAACACTTGTTTTCCCTTGGCCTCGTGACTGATAATCAAAATATTAACTGTCATTACACAATATAGCACAATGGGTGGAGTTATGATACTAATTCAGCATGTCTTATTCTACTTCTAGCTTTCCCCTTTTTTATTATACAGCTTTACAAACTTTTACACACACCCACATAAGGCTGTGTTTATCATAGAGTTTGTAAGATGCAAAAACGTGGAAAATCATGGGAATAAGCCTTTGATCAGTCCTATGATCAAAGAATTTTTGATACGTAGTAGCAACTTCACAATACAACCACAAGAAAGGTGAATGGTTTAAATATCTGGGTCCTACTTGCATGGAGATGTATTATATAGGCTTTTATTCCCATGGTTACTCTATGTTTTACCTAGAAGACAAAGGAAAGGAGTGTGAGTTTTTTTTCCTCTCAAAAGGAAAATTAATTTGCTCAAGAAAACTTAGGAGAAAAAGGATCTTTTAACATTTTCTTTAAAAAGTAATGGGTATGCTTGTTTTTAGTGCACCCATTCTACAAATATGCACTTACATTATGCATCAACAACTAGAGCCCGAAATCAGAATTCCAGTTTCATGTTCTGTGAGTATTTATCAACAGATTACAACACCCAGAAAAGAATAAAGCAATTCATTACTTGGCAATGTACTTTCTGTGGAATACAGTCACCTTAAAGAGCTGTAAAACTGATTCGTTGCATCTCATTAATAGTTAACATGGTAATCTGAACCTTGTTCAAAGGAAAAAAAGAGTTCCAGATATCTGAAGTTGTTAATCAAACACATATTAACTATTCAGTGAGCATAGAAATATTATTCAATCTTTCATTTGTCCATTTATTTCATCAAATGTAATATTGAATGAGCTATTTATTAAATAAGAGTACTGGAATCATCCTAACCTAAAAGCTTGATTATGGACAAAAATCCCTGCCCAATTTTGAACTGGAATGATTCTGGTCTGAACTAACAAACTCATTACTATCTTGCTCTACGCAGGAAAGGCAGACAGGGTGCTTCTTAGTATATTCCTTAGCTAAATAATGCTAGCATAATCCTTAGCTTGGAGTTCCTTGATCATAAACTTGTTATAAACTGGTCAGATTCCTTCCAGATCCTTTTCCCTCAGAAGTAAATTCCCTGTCTTCCTTCACCATGGAAATGAAAAGAAACGTTTTTGACAGCATTGATAAGAGAGGGCGGAAACTACTCGTTAATAACAGGAAATGATCTTCAGAAACCTTCTTTCAGAAATAGGAATTGCTCCTCTAAGAATATTTTAAAACATCCCACCGAATATTCAGTCATCTGTAACGATGATAAAACCAGATCTTCAAGGCCTTTTGAAAGGCCATCAGGGTTTGCACTAGTCTGGTCTTCATAAAAATTATGTTCCAGAGGATTGGCATCATGAAAAAGAAATTATCTCCTTCTGGGTCCCACCAAATGACTGTTCCTAAAGGACAGGACCCAGACCACACTTCTCATTCTGGATCTCATAGGATACGTAGAAATCACTGGGGAAAGCAGGTCTCACAAGTAGTTTATCTCCAAGCTATGGGGGTAAAGCTAACTATCAGTCTTGAATTGAACCTAGAAGCATACTGATAGCCAATGCAGAAAGATACCATGATTGACAGTATCAAAAGCAGTTGAGGGGGAAGAAGAGGAAGGATGGATGCACCACCTCCATTCGACTCTCTCCAGAGGTCATCCAAGAGTGTGATTAATGCTGTCTCAGTTCCATACCCAGGCCTGAATCCTGACTGAACCTAGTCCAAATAATCTGGTTCTTCCAGAATTTGGTGAAGCTGATGTACAACCAACTTCTCCATAATTTGTGGGGAAGGTTAGAAACTAGATGAAAATTGTCCAGTATAGTCAGATTCAGTGACAGCCTCTTCAAGAGGGGAGAAACCACCATCTCCTTAAAAGCAGCAAAATCATTTCCTCTCTGTCAGAGGAATTCACTACTACAAAGACCAATCACATGTTGCCTCTCAGAAACCCTTAGCCAACAAACAGGGGTTACGAATCTAAAACAAAGCTAATTGAAGAACACTGTCCACTTCATCAGGCCAACAGCATCAAACTTTCTCCAGTTTAATCAAAGCAGACCAAGGCCCAGCCATTTTCACAGGACCTGTTCCAAAATTAAAGTCCAACTTACTGTAAATCTGATTGACTTCATCCATTAGATGCCTAGCATATTCCTCACCTTGTAGATAAACCTCTGAACTATCCCCTCCTGGACAGCTATCCAAAGATGTATTGAGGTGGATAAATATTGATACCCTTACAGCCACAAGGTAGACCTTAATTGTGGTTTGTGTTTGGTTAAACTCACTTCTTATAATCCTTGCAAGGTTCTGAGCATCTTTCCATCTATTTCATTTCCCCCATTCTGCCATTCATCAAGGCGAGTCCAAGGATTCCCAAGAGAGAAGAGGTAGCTATTCTGCAATCCCATCCAGAGTCAAGCTGTCCTGTTATTCCAGACAGCCACCAGGCCTTTGAGTTGATTACCCTCAGGAACAAATTTCCTGTGAAATCCAATAGAGTTAATTAGTTGCTAGTATGGACAATCTAATGAGTCCAGCCTCCTTCCATTGGAGAGTAGTGCCAGAGAACTGCAGAGGCACTAGAGGAAGATCTGACTATAACAGGGAAGAAACAGGAGTCTCTCCCAATTTCACATCACACTGCCATTGCTCTGATTAGGTGTATGACCAATATTGTGCACTGGATCCTGAACTAGCAATTTTAAGTCATTTCCAATAACTAATGACTTTTTTATATGATTTCATGAAATTAATTATTTGATTGTCAGTACTTTTCAGTTCTGGTGCAGTCAAAAA